ACCCAGTGTTCAACCGCCCACACTCAGGATTAAACCTAACCCAGTTTTCAACCACCCACTCTCAGGATTAAACCTAACCCAGTGTTCAACAACCCACAATCAGGATTAAACCCAACCCAGTGTTCAACAACTCACACTCAGGATTAAACCTAACCCAGTTTTCAACCACCCACTCTCAGGATTAAACCCAACCCAGTGTTCAACAACCCACACTCAGGATTAAACCTAACCCAGTTTTCAACCACCCACTCTCAGGATAAACCTAACCCAGTGTTCAACCGCCCACACTCAGTATTAAACCTAACCCAGTGTTCAACAACCCACACTCAGGATTAAACCCAACCCAGTGTTCAACAACTCACACTCAGGATTAAACCTAACCCAGTGTTCAACCGCCCACACTCAGGATTAAACCCAACCCAGTGTTCAACAACTCACACTCAGGATTAAACCTAACCCAGTGTTCAACCACCCACACTCAGGATTAAACCTAACCCAGTGTTCAACCGCCCACTCTCAGGATTAAACCTAACCCTGTGTTCAACCACCCACTCTCAGGATTAAACCCAATCCAGTGTTCAACCACCCACACTCAGGATTAAACTGCTCACTACTCTTTCCTGAAAAGTGATAACTAAAACTCTGCAGATGAGTTACTAGAGTTCACCTTGAAGCARTGAAGGGTCTAAAGCCAGACTATACAGAAGTATTGTACATGAACAATAACCAGACTCCAGTTAGAATTATGGTACACTTCAAAAATGTAAAGAAAACTAAAGAACACGGTTTGAAAGGAATTTATAAATGTTGAAATTTTAAGTTTTGGGTTTCTGTTTAACACAGGTGAGCTGTCAGCAGATGGTTTCCATGGAGACAGTCTGTTGAACAGGTGAGATKTGTTACACAGGTGAGACACATCAGTGGTGGGTGGTACGACCCCAGTCAGTGGATTGTTTTTATTTATMATGACAGAACAGTTTTACACTTGTTTTCATCCTACACTCAGAAACATGAATAAACACATTTTATCAGTGCTGTTGACTGAAATAAAACGTTTGACCAAGGACAGCACAAACTGTCCTCCAAGGAAGTTATTGTTGGACTGCCAACAGTAACACATTTTTAAAATAAACATATCAGTATAAAAGTCACATTAATACAATACAATTACAACAACCACATCTAAAAATACACACCCAATATTTCTTTTAGCTTCCCAAGCACAAAAAGTACAAAACCAGACATGATTAATCAAAATGTTTCCTTACAGAAAAAGATGTTCCAGTTCATCTGTACCCAGTCCCTTACCTGTACCCGGTCCCTTACCTGTACCTGGCCCCTTACCTGTACCCAGTCCCTTACCTGTACCCAGTCCCTTACCTGAACCCAGTCCCTTACCTGAACCCAGTCCCTTACCTGAACCCAGTCCCTTACCTGTACCAGAACACATACCTGTACCCAGTCCCTTACCTGAACCCAGTCCCTTACCTGTACCAGAACACATACCTGTACCTAGTCCCTTACCTGAACCCAGTCCCTTACCTGTACCCAGTCCCTTACCTGTACCCAGTCCCTTACCTGTACCAGAACACATATCTGAACCCAGTCCCTTAGCTGAACCCAGTCCCTTACCTGTACCCAGTCCCTTACCTGTACCAGAACACATATCTGAACCCAGTCCCTTAGCTGAACCCAGTCCCTTACCTGTACCCAGTCCCTTACCTGTACCTAGTCCCTTACCTGTACCCAGTCCCTTACCTGTACCAGAACACATATCTGAACCCAGTCCCTTAGCTGAACCCAGTCCTTTACCTGAACCCAGTCCCTTACCAGAACCCAGTCCCTTACCAGA